CAAAGTAGCAATTAACCATTATTCACATACTGAGACATTGAAAACTATAGACAGGAGCTGCCCCCAGCTCCATTAATATTCCATTTTACCCAACACAACAGCACTTGACAAGAACCAGATGCTTCAGTGCAGACTTGCCAGTGGCATGGGAGGTTGGGTGACTCACAACTAAAAGAACCCTAAACAAAATGCTCTTTTCTGTTTTATGGACCATGAGAACATGATAGCTAGAGCTCTGAACAACATCACTCTCCCTAGTCATCTGCCCAGTCCTTTTGCTTTAGAAATGCTTAGCACATGCCACTAAAATACAAAACTAAAAATTCTCATGTACAAGAATGAGGGTTTATGTAAAATACTATATTGTTGAGTTGCTGCTTTGATTTTTTTCCTTCAATAATTTAAGTTTTTATTCCATCTTCATATCTTTGTTGATTTTATTTTTGAAATCTGTAGAATATGAAACTTTTCCCAAGATTAAAAAAAAAAAACAGGCTTCCTTTCTCATTTTGTAGTTCATCAACAACATTATGCCTGCTGTCTTGTCTTATGTTTCTTTTTGTAAAGGTAGCCATATTTTTTCTGTTTTCTTATTTCTCAATCTGTCTTGCCCAAAGGCAGCATATATGTGTTATATGTGTAAAGAATATTCTAGTAAGGAAATGTAAAGAAGTGAACAAAAGAGAGATACATACACATAGTACAGAGGAAAGAAGACAAAGTGGCTGCTCCTCTCCACAGCTGCATTTATTAACCCCAAAAAGTTACAAAGCTCCTGTTACCAAGATTACATTCTAACTACTAGTATTCCTTTAACCCCACGTGCTAGCTAAGAGATAAGGTCCAGCTTAAAACAAACACAGACTCCCTTTTCTTCAAGGACATTACCATGGAAACCAGATAGTGCACCTGCATAGTTATCTTAAGAGCTTCAAGGGGAAACTGCTGGGCATTCCAATCGCAGGAATCAGGGTGCCATTTACCCCTGGGAGTTTGCTCACCAGGAGAACATTTCCCTGTATATTTCTATGGTCAGAATACCTAAATATATGTGTTTTTTTTTCCTTTTCAGGTTTTGTTTTGTTTTGTTTTAACTTTATTCCTAGAGATCCCTCCAAGTCAATTTATAAATACATATATCATTCATTTTATAGCTGCATTTACTGCTATTTGTACTTCATTATATGCTATCATTTGTGTTATACTACAGTGTATGGCACATACCTTAGTTTATTTAATCACTTTCTTTTGAAGTATTTATGTGGCCTTCAATATGTTACAATTACAAATATGCTATAATAAATAACATTGTACATACACATTTTTATTTTTAGTTCTATGAAAATGTATTAATCTGAAGTATGAACCACCCAAGAAAACTAGAGGCTAATATAGATTCCTAGAAATGCTATGAAATAATGAACCTCAACACACATCCTTTAAAAATATCCTCAAAACTTTCAAGGCACATCTGTCATTTTGGTAATTGTAACTATCAAAATGAAACACAATTCTACTATGTAATTATTACAATTTTTTTGAAATATAGAGATTTCTCAGTAGATTTTTTTAAATTAGGAGCCTAAATGTATCTCTTTATTAGATTCTGATGAAGTACCAGACAAAAAACTTGAACATCATGATTTAAAACTTGAAATGCAAGTAAAAAAATTAAAATTTTCAGAGAGGAAAGATATAATATAATAATTAAAGATATAATAGTAAGAATAATAATTATAGGTAATTTTAAATTTAAAAAAGTCATCAGATCTATTTTATTTGGTTTATAAGTATACATGTGAGCATATAATTTATAGAATTTTTACAGCTTGACAAAAAGTATGAATACCCTAAAATAACTAGAGAACAGATACCATATAATATTTGTTTGGAATTTCATAAGACTATATTCTGGCATACTTATGTGCTCAGTGTCCAGAAGACCCAATAACTGGTCAATAATCTGAACCAGTTCTCTCTGACAAATATAGGAGGTTATGGATCCAAGTGTACCATCAAAGGTCACAGTATACTTTCACCATGGAATCCAATTGGCAATCAAAAAGTTTGTTGAGAACTGTAACTCAAAAAAGTATAACAGAGAGGGCAAGGAGAAGGTTGTCTTTGAGGTTAGTTGGATGTAGAGATCCTGTCTGTAGGCCCCACTCAAAAATAAATGTCTTTTTGATAAAGTGATGGATGGGCCCTTAAGTAGCCAAAGTAGGAAAAGCAAGAGCACCAGTAGCCCAATAGTCCCACTAATCACTGGGCTTCCTTTTTATTTGTTGTAACTGAAAGCAGCTAAAACATGGCTCTCTGCAGTAAAACATACTAACTATTCCTAGTTTATTCCTAGAAATGTCACATGATCCATGGGTCTTTGAAATGTCCTAGCCATGTTGCAACATGTGAATTAACATAGCATCCAGTTCTTGTTGGGTAATGCCTTTGTCTGGACCCAGTGAATTAGTATAATAGAATGCTAGTGTTTATAAACCAAATAAAATAGAGAATAGTGCTTTTACCAGATTATTAAGTATCCATGAGACCCAAGGTAAACTTTTAGTTGTAAGCCTTTGTAAAAATTAAAAATCAAGTGACATATTTTCAGCATACAATGGTATAGGGAGAGCATTGCCATTCCAAAGGGAGCTATAGGAAACAGAAAAGAAGGATGGAACCAAAGTAAGACCATAACCCTTGCTTGACTTCAGGCATTCAAGGTGGCAGGACGTGGAAGCCCCACCCCCTACCTACCATATTTCCAATTACAGCCCACAGTACTTTTCTCTTGTGCTTACTCTCCTTGCTGTCTGTAGCTTCCTGACCAATGTTTTCTGTCATCTCCAACTTCTTTGGATTTAGCAGATTTAGCTTCACTCTCATAACTTCATGCATAACCCTCCGAGGGGCTATATGCAGGAATTCCAACCTTTACTTCCTTTTAAATATTTTTTTTAGAGAGAGAGAGAGAGAGAATATTTTAATATGTATTTTTCAGTTCTCGGCGGATACAACATCTTTGTTTGTATGTGGTGCTGAGGATTGAACCCGGGCCGCATGCATGCCAGGCGAGCACACTACTGCTTGAGCCACATCCCCAGCCCTTCCTTTTAAATCTTAATGGAAGCTTCCATGGCCATGCAAGAACTTACATTCTGTGTTACTGCAAAACCAGTAACACATGAACAGTGACACCATGGTCTGTCACCAGCTTGAGCAGTACCTGGACCCACTTGAACCATGACTGTAGCAACCTCTCTGAGTACCTGGATGGCTGAGCACAATAAAATGTATCATGAGGATATAAATTCCCAAGTGTTATTGTTATTCTCAAAATGAAGTCTCAAAAGAGTTTTCACTTTTATACCTTCAAGCTTGTGATGTATGGGGTCTTGCTGATTTCTGAGATGTCCTCAAGGCATCTTTAATATTATAAGGGCACAAAGCTCTGGGTTGCTCTTTAATGATGTTAACTTCTTCAGCACCACACCTTCTGTGGTCACAGTTTTGCACACAATTTTCTGATCAAACTTCAAGTTTTCAGATCTTTTTACTCTGATTTTTGCTCCCTATTCTTAATAAATCTGACTAAAAGCAGGCAGCCATACCAATTCCATTGCCTGAATGTTGTACTGCCTTAAAATTTCCTCCACAAGATTAGTTAGTCCATCACAGAAAGTCAGCCTCACAGAAAGTCCAAGAGTATGGACAAAAAGTAGTCAAGCTCTTTGTCAGAATGTAATATGTACGATCTCTATTCCAGTTCCCAATAGATTCCTCATTTCCATCTGAAACTTCATGAGCACAGTCTTTGCTGGTTTCATTCCTACCAGCACTCTGATCATCTGGACTTCTACCAGAATTGCTCATTGTTTCACCTACATCATTTTAAGGCTTCTCTAGCCTGTATCTCCAAACCCCTCACACAAACTAGTTCCAAAGTCTCCTGAACCATACAGTCATATATAGTTACAGTAATATTCCACTTGTGGTACCTATTTTCTGTGTTAGCTTTTGGTTGCAGTTTGTGTCCAAACTGCCTATCAAGAACAACTTTAAAGGAGAAAATATTTATTTTGGATCATGATATCATAGGTTGCAGTTCATGGTAGGCTGGCTCCATTGCTTTGTACCCAATGTAAGACAGAAGTAGAAGGGAACCTGTAAAGCTATTTACCTTATGACCACCATTAGGAAGGAGAGGGARGGAGGAAGGGAAAGGGGGAAAGAGAGAGAGGGAGAAAGAAGGAATCAAGAACAAGATGTAATCTGCAGGCATGTCCCTATGGATCACAGCCTTCAACTAGGTCACACCTTCCACAGTCTCTGGTGCCTTCCAGTGTTCAATCAACTGTCAATGGATTAATCAACTAATGTGGTCAGGCTTTGTGATCCAGTCACTTTCTCAAGGCCCACCTCTGAAAACTACTGCATTGGGGACCAAGCATTTGACACATGAACCTTTGAGGGACAATCCAGATCCAAACCATAGTATACTATATGTATTTATATACATATATGTATACAAACACATGCATCATTATATACCATAATTGATATTATGCCATAGTATGTGATATACATATCAGTTACTCAACAAATTTCTAATATTCGAAAATTTCACTGATCTTGAATATTTTGCAATTACAAATAATGTTATAATGAATAATCTGGTACATACACATTTTCATTTGTTGGTCTGTGAACAGGTATTAACCTAAAATATAAATATCCTAAAAAAATTATGTACTAATATAAAACATTTGATGTTTAGGTGTATTTACAAAGTGACAATACATCTTCAACACATTGAAAATGTTCTAATAGTTTTTATACCAGATCTAGTATCATAGTAATTTATTTACGGCTTTATAAAATGAAAGACAGTATTGCTACCCTTTAGTATAAATTTGAAATCTGGAGATTATAGAACTAAATTTCTATTGAATTAAAGGACTAAATTTCTACTGAAGGACTAAATGTCTCTCTTAACATAGCTCATGAAGAAGTACCACATGAAAATGAAATGAAAGATCAAGATTCAGTGCCCAAAACCCAAGTGCAATCAAAGAAGCAAAAAACTTCCAGAGAAGAACTTAATAGTAAGTTACTGATTATAGCTATTTTTATATTATTGTAAACTAAATTCATTAGAATAACTTTTTTCTTTGGTTCATAAATATGTATTTGAGTATATACTAAAATATCTTTTTCTTTTTATGGGGCGGGGTACCTGGGATTGAACTCAGAGGCACTTGACCTCTAAGCCATATCCCAAGCCCTATTTTGTATTTTATTTAGAGACAGGTCTCACTGAGTTGCTTAGCCCCTTGCTTTTGCTGAGGCTGGGTTTGAACTCATAATCCTCTTGCCTCAGCCTTCCAAGCTGCTTGGATTACAGGCATGCACCACAATGCCTGGCTTCACTAAAATATCTTAACTGCAGCATATTTCATCAGAGGGTGGGATTAAATGCCACAGTGTGTTCATATGGAAAAACACATTTAATCAGTAATACATTTATTAGTAAGGGCCATAACAAAATTTGTAGTGGCCTGAAAGGATCCAGTCAAATTTGTGAATGGACAAAGGTAGAATGAGGCCCTAGAGTAATAATTAGAAAAAAATTATCACTTTCTTCCTCATCCTTGTGATAAAAATTGTGAGGATCATGGTGACTTGTTTACTTGTATCCAAAAATGCATATTTACTGGTATCCAGGAAATGCAATTTCCTTCTGCCTCCACATTGAACTTTGAACTTGGTGTTGGTTCTTAGTTGCCTGGGGAACTTCGCCTAACCCCTAGTTATGTTCACTTATGAATATTGAGAGGTCTGAATAAAATAGGTTCTGTATGAAGGACCTCACAAGGTGCTACTTCAAGATTACTTCATTCATCAAGGAGGCAAACCACTCAAGTCTCAAGATCCATTGACAGAGTGGTGGGGATAACATTTGTAGTTAACTGTAGTGGCCTTCAAATGTAGATCTCTGTGACTGCTGGGACCCCGATAGCTCATTATTCGATCTTCAGTCTTTGGTGGAGAATCCATCAGTCTAATTGTTTTGTTTGGTAACCAGTGCAATGGTTCTCTTTCATAAGGTCATTGCCTGCACTGCCCAGAAGAGGACACAATTACCATTTTTATATCACCTCATTGGTCATTGTTTGCTATCTGGGATGTCACCTGGGCACCCCAAATTTATCAAAGATCTGGATTGTGTCATTGATAGAATGATATGACCTTAAGAGTAGCTTGGTTGAGCTTGATGACCAGCAGGATTGAAACAAATGAACTTAAAAATCTGTGTCTGTGGCTGGGGTTGTGGCATAGCCGTAGAGCACTCGCCTAGCACGTGCAAGGCCCTGGGTTCAATCTTCAGCACCACATAAAAATAAATAACTAAAATAAAGGTGTTGTGTCCAACTACAACATATATATATATATAATTTTTTTTTTTAAATCTGTGTCTGGCCAACAATCTTATCTTTTGTTTTCATGCCCTCATTGTACAATGAGGGAACACCATGGTCTTCTGTTGCTTTGCCATGTAGGTACTAAAATATCTATAGGAAGAATGCTGGGCATCTTAAGTGACCATAAATATATTCACAGTTACAGGTGATTGTCATTTCCACTTAAAGTAATGTAAGATATTGAGCATCATGGAAACATTGACTGGCTCATTTGACATGAAGATATACCCCTGGCTTAGGACACATAGTCAAATGAAAGCAGGTTATTGAAGAGTCCTCCAGACAATAGTGGGGGAGTAATCCATTCAAGCAGATGGGCAAATCTCAACATAGGAATACAGAAAACACAAGAAAGCAAGTAAAAAAAGATGCTTTGAAAAGTATATAACCCTGCAACAACTGAATCTATAGATTTTAAAGTGGATAAAATCTCAGAGGATTTAAAGATAAAATAATCCATGAGTTAAAGGAAGATCTAAGGAATGAGCAGAGAGAGAAAATACAGGAGATGAAAGATCATTTTAATAAACAAATGTGCCTCTGAAAAGATTCAAATAGATATTCTGGAAATGAAAGACTCAATAAGTCAGATTAAAAATTCAGTTGAAAGTATCACCAATAGATCAGATCATAAAGAAGACAGATTTTTTTTCAGGCTTCAAAGACAAAGTATATTATCTTGAAAATGCAGTCAACAATAAAGACAATAAGAGAACTGTAATCATAATAATCAGTAAATTTGGTGTAATCCCAGAGACCAAATCTGTGAATCACTGGTATTGTACAGAGTTCCAAGATACAAACTAAGGGCATGGATAACATTTCAGTGAGATAATATCAGAAAAATGCCTGATATTATTGGTATCAGACTTGAGAATGAGATGGACATTCAAATACAGGAGGCATTCCAAGTCCCAAATAGATGAGTTTCAAAAAGAACCTCTTCCTGACGCATTATAATTAAAGTGGCTAATATACAGTACAAAGACAAAATTTCAAGAGAAAAACAGAAGGTTATCCACCTGATTTTTTGGCACAGACTGAAGGCTGGGAGAGTATGGAATATATCATTCTAAGTCCTAAAAGAAAATAACTGCCAACCAATATTGCTCTAGCCAGCAAAACTTTCATTCAGAGTTGAAGAAGAAATAAAAATCTAAGATAAGCATAAACTAATGGAATCCATGACTATTAATATAGCACTACAGAAAGTATTTACAGAATACTACACATAAGAAATTAAAAACAAACATCACATCCAGTGAAWGGACAAACCTCATTAGAAGGGTAACCAAACAAATTGGAATTTAGAACCAAAGTAAACATCAGAAAAAAATAAAATGGCAGGTAATAATAAGCATCTCTATAATAACAATCAATTTAAATGGTYTCAACTCTTCAATTAAAAGACAGACTAGGAGAATGGATAAAAAACAAGGAGCAGTTGCTAACCTCRGAACTAGGAAAAAAAGTGCTAAAATTCTTATGGAAAAATAAAGAAGCAGAATAGCCAAATCTTTCCTGAGCATTAAGTCAATGGTGGAGGCATCACATTTTCTGACTTCAAGTTATATTACAGAGCTATAGCAACAAAAGCTACAAGTATTGACATAAGAGCAGACATGTATATTCTGGTATACAGATATCAGTGAATAAATTAAAAGATACAGAGAGAAACTCACACAGATATAGTCAATTGAACCTTGACATAGGTGCCAAAAATATATGTTGGAGAAGAGACAGCCTTTCAAACAAATAGTGCTTGGAAAAACAAGTATCCATATGTTAGAAGAATCAAACTAGATCCTTATTTCCCATCCTACACAAAAGCAGCTCAGAATGGATTAAAGCCTAGGAATCAGACCAGAAATTTTGTAACTGCTAGAAGAAAATCAATGCTCCATTGTATAGATGCCGGAAGTGACTTCCTCAATAAAAAGGAAGCTTTATTTTCTAAAGCTTAGAAAATAAAACCAAGAAGTAATAAATGGTGCAGCATCAAGTTAAAATGCTTCTGCACAATACCAAAGGAAATTAATAGTGATTGTGAGAGAAGAAATAAAAGGCTGTGGCCTTTGGGGGGGATGCATTTTTTTTTTCTTCCTTTTTTTTCTCTCTCCTTCCTGGTTCCATGTGCTCAGCTGCTTTCATCTGTCACACACTTCCACCATGATGTTCTGCCTTACCTYGGGTMCCCAAAGGATGAAGTCAGCCATCTATGAACTAAGGCCTCTAGAAATGTGATCCCTTAGATAAACTTTTACTCCTTGTTCTTGTCAGGTCTTTTGGTCACTATATTTTAAAAAGAAAAAAATGACTAATACAGAAATTGGTACCAGGAGTGGGGCTGTTGCTGTGAATATCCTGACCATGTGATTCAAAAGTTTTTGGGAGCATTTTTGAATTTGTGGGAGGAATTTCTGGAGCTGGAAAAGCTCTAGAATGTGGATCTCAATGGGTGATTCTGGGAGATCAGAAGACAAAAATGCCAGTAGGACTGCACACAGTGAAGATAGGGCTCATGAAGTTTTAGAGGGAATGGGAGACTCTATTGGAAATTGAACTAGAGGCCATTCATGTCATATTCTAGATAAGAAGTTGTCTACATTTTGCTCCTGTCCTGAGACTTTCTGTGAGGATTAATTTAATTAATTTAATTAATTTAATCTCCTGTCCTGAGACTTTCTGTGAGGATATCTTAATCTGACAGAAAAAATTCTAGGCAGTATAGCATTTGAGCAGTGTCATGGATTTTGCTGGCAGCCTTTTAAGTTTATTATGACAATCAGGAGCAGAAAGGTTTGAAAAACTTTGGAAGAAAACTGTGAGTAAAACGGAAGCTAAGGAATATGTGATTTTTAAAGATATTACAAAATGCTAAAGATGTTGCCCAGAGATAATATGAAAGATGGCTTGAGGGCATCTCAAGGATTGGCAAAACCACACTAATTTCAGGCTGAAGGARGTAAAAGTAAAAATTATTTTGAGAATAGACAAGTGGGGCATCCTCCTTGCACAAGGGGACCTAGGAAGTTGGTTCAACATTCAGAAGCTGATACAGCCACGGTCCCTAGAAGCTTTTCTAGTACTTGAGATTGTAGCAGACCTTGGTGGCAACCACATGGTGCTAGTTGTGCAGGATTTCAGGATGCTGGAGTTAGGATATCATGGAGGCTTTCACTGAGATTTCAAAGAAAGGCTAGGAGGCCAGGCAAARTGCTGTAGGGTTAGAGTGCTTACAGGCTGCCCTTGATAGGGTGAGGCATGGAGATGTGAGGAAGAAGGTGAAGTTGCAATGGATATCACTAAGATTAAGAAATATCAGTATCATGGAACTTCTGCCCTTGAAAGCTACAAGAATTGAGCATAGACAATCCAAGAGAGAGGCTATGTGGGCTGCAACCAGCAAAGCTATAGGGGTGGGGCTATACAAGTCCTCTGGAGAGAACATCATGATGTCATGTGCCTGAGATGCTGCCCAGCTGGATTTTGGTCACACTTTGGTCCCATCCTTTCTTTCTATGCCCTTATTAATCTCTTTTGGGATGGAAATGTTTACTCTGTACCTTAATATATTGGATACATGTAACTTGCTTCTGAGTTTTACAAGGGCTTATGCTGAGAGTTTGCCTTGAATCTCAGAGGAGATTTGGATTTTGACTTTTGGGCAAAAAGTCAAAAGTTTTAATCTGTTAAAACTATAAGGACTCATAAAAATTGACTATATGTATTTTGCATTGTAAAGTGGACATGAGGGACTGGGGATATAGCTCAGTTGGTAGAGTGCTTGCCTCGCGTGTACAAACTCTAGCACCACACACAAAAAAGTGGGATCTTTTGGGACCCAGGAGCAGAATATTATGATTTAGATTAGGCGTCCCCCATGAGCTCATGTGTGAGAGAATTCAAAAAGTTTAGAGGTAAAATGATTGGTTATAAAGGTTTAACTTGATCAGTGCACTAATCCCCTAATAGGGATTAATTTGGTGGAAACTATAGGCAGGCAGGGTGTGGCTGGAGGAGGTAGGTCCCTGGTGTGCCTTTAGGCTCTATAATATGTCCATGTTGAGCAGAGCACACWCTCTGCTTCCTGGTGCCATACCCTGAGCTTTTCTACCATGATATTCTGCCTCTCCTTGGACCGCAGATAAAGGAGTTGGCCATCTATGAACTAAGACCTCTGAAACCATGAGCCCCCAAATAAACTCTTCCTCCTCTAATTGTTTTTTCCATGATTAAAGCAGTTCTTAAACATTTTTATTATAAAATATACAAAAATTGGGCTGGGGATGTTGCTCAGTTGGTAGAGTGTTTTCCTCACATGCACAAGGCCCTTGGTTTGATCCCCAGCACCACCAAAAAAAAAAAATCTATGTAAGATATTTATAAATTATAACAAAAATTTTATAATTAACACTAGGATAACCCTTGCTAGGTCAAGAAATAGAGTAATACTAATACAAAAATCTCACAACTTTTYCCCTCCGCACTGTGGTAACTACTATATTGATTTTAAAGTAATACTTGTTTTTCTTTATTAAAGTCAAGTCAGATATAGTTACCTCTATTTTGAACTACAAAAATGGCAAGTTCAACCTGATAGTTATATCATTTTAGTATGTTTTTTWAAAAATCAACACAGTTTTTTTATTAAGAATTTTTTAGTTGTGCATAGTAGTTGGGTTCATCTCAACAAACTCCAAATAGATGCATAGAAATCAATTTCAGTTCATGATGCCCTCTTTCACTCTCC